CCCAGAAAGTTTCACTTACATATGGCAGCCATGCACTGAAACATTATGACTCACCATCATATTTAGGAGTAACCTTTGACCCAAGACTCACGCGGAGAAAACAGAAAAGACACAGAGCAAGGGAGAACCCAACTGATAAGGAAGTTAACTGGAACAGACTTGGGGGCCAACCTCAGGGTCTTAAAGTGGACCTATAGGCTATGTGAGAACAACACTAGAACATGGAATAGCTGCTTGGGGCACAGCAGCTAAATAATATTTTCAGAAAGTCTCAAAGATCCAAAACCATGCTCTCCGTATTATGACAGGGGCCCATATCAGACATAGAAGCAACTACTGGTCTCCACGATCTGGAAGAGAGACACAAAGCTCCTCAGCAAGTTCTCCAAATATCACCATTTGAAAGAACAACCCATGAACAGCCGACTGTAGAATCCCCAGAGGGCTAGACTAAAGAAAACACTTTTAAAAAAAAACCGCAAACGTCAAGCTCGTAGACCTCAAACTCCCTTCCATAGTTTCAAATGTTCCACTGAAACCTTTTCAACCACTGCCCCCCTTTGCTTAGGGATAACCTGCCAACAGTCAAAACTACTGTAACATGGATCTCCTCTAAATCATCAATGAGCAGCACTGATATGAAGTCAGTTACAGAAGCAGAGATCAATAGACTTTAACCACACCTGAGCTGAATTAGAATGTATACAGATGGTTCAGCCAAGAAAGCAGTAAGAGACGGAGAAGGAGGAATATAAACAGAATCCCCAAATGGTTTAAAAAACAACCAAGCTATACCAACAGGTTCGTATACCTCCAATAACAGAGCAGAGGCAGATGCACTTCTGGTTGCAGGTTCTTTCCTGAATAGACAACAGCACAGCAAACATAGCAGAGCTGTCTTTTTGACCCATTGTCAGTTCTACAAGCAATTGTTAACCCAAAAGACACACACTTTGTAGACCTGATGCAACACTGATTCACCTAGGTTCTTCAGTAGAACAATCTGTAATGCAGTGGATTCCATGTCGCTGTGGCTTGAAAGGCAATGAAATTGCAGACAGGTTGGCTAGAAGCGGCAGTGACATGGTACAACCAAAGTGACTTAACCCACGATGAGACTAAGACATTAATACTATCTAGTATCCAAGAAAGATGGCTGGATACACACATCAAATTCTCTCCTCAACATTCGCGTCACATCCTCTCTAGAGATGCACAGTGTATTATATTCAGACTAAGGACAGGGTACAAGAGACTTCATCAATATGTGTTCAAATTTTTCGATGTAGGAAACAGGGAAACGTGTTTCTGCAGCGTGGCACCCGAAAATGGTGAGCATATGCTCCAACACTATCAACTGTATGCTAACAAAAGCAGACACGCAATCTGGCCTGTTCCAACCACAATGTAGACAAAACTGTATGGTACACGAGAAGATATGGACTGCATGATAGCTTTCATAAAGGCTACTGGACTCCTGATATAATTTTTCTGACAGAAGGATCGAAGAAGAAGAAGTAGACGGTCATTATATGTCAGATGCAGGATTGTTTCAGTTTATCTGAATGCCAGCTTACAATGGGCAACTGAATTTACCAGTTATGTGTCAACATGCTACTGGTCTGAAGAATAAAGCAACAAACTTTGTAAAGGTGCTACATGAACATAAAATGTGCAAACAATATTACTTCAGAAAGAAACCAGCATCTCGGAATATATTCTATAATGTTCTATAGATTTGTTATCTCACACCTTTGATCTTTGAGTCGACCATAATCAACCAACAATTACCCAATTTTTAATTTTTATTTTTAAGTGTGTGTGTGTGGGTTTTTCTTTTTTTTTCTTTTTATTTCCTGTAGTTTCTTCCATGTTGTGAATCCTTGCTAGTATTCATGGAGTCGTTAATATCTCACAAATTAAGGCAATTTCAATCAGGGAATCATTACTCCCTTCTTACTTAAAACATATTTTTTTTATAATCAGTTAAATGCACCAGGAAGAGTTCTTCCTTGTAAGATCTCTAAGTATTTCCAAATATATAAAAAATAAAACAAATGTACAAACAGACTTAACAATGTAAACATTAAAACATTTTGTACAGTACATTGAACTTTACATTATATAAAATGTCTTGACAGCCAAATGTTCCATATGCTCTCCTATTATAACAATACAAATATTTACCATTTTTAACATTTGGTGTTCCAATCATATATCAGTAAAGTTTGCCACGTAATCAATATAGCAGCCTGTTACAAGCAGTATCATACAGAATCAAGCTGACATGTTATACTGTTGTTTCTATCTTCTTCATTCACCTTCAGACATCAACAGGAAATATCATCTAGAGTCTGCTCAAGTGTGGCCAATCTGACCAATGCTAACTTGGAAGTGTCTGTTACAATGAAAGCAGAGGGACAAGTGATCAGGTGGAGACACCTTGAACTTAAGATCTGTATACTGTATCTCCATATGGGTTCCCAGGGCCCATTTGGGGGGGGGGGATACAGAACAGACCCATTGGGGTAAATGGAGAAACGTCGCTGTGGCTACAGAGTTAAGTGCGGACGGCAACACAGGCGGAAAATTTCTTATCAGCTGTCCGTACTAGTGGCAGAGCACTTATGGTTTAAAACCAACTTTACCTTTTTTTTATTGTTACTGTAGTATGTAACTGATGAGATACTGTGAAATATGCCAGGCAATAAATTAAGCAATCTATTTCTTGTATTTTCTTTGTTCAAATTAACTAGAGGTTTGTGGAAATCTGGTGCACTGGGCTGAAAGCCTAGCTGTAAACCAGAAAAACAACATGCCAACTACCCTTTTACGAATGTTGAAGAATGAAGAAGTATACAATACACATTTGGTAAAGGGTCCTTGTGACAAACTGCCTATGCCATTTGCCTCACTTTGAAGGCTGTAGGTTTGATTCTGGACTCTGCTCTTTATTCAAGAGTTTCAGATGCCAGGGGGAGCTAGCTGGAGCTCGAGTTTCTTGCCTTGTACCGCATGCACGCACACACAACACACACACACGTGCGCAGGTGCAGTGACTCAAAGCCCAGTCAAGTTTGAAAACTGATGTAAGTAAATTCTACACTACATATTAAGTAATAATACACAGCAAGAGAAAGAAGGACAACTGCTAAATACAGTTCCATATGGCAAATCAGTGAGACAGAAAAAATACAGTAAACGTAGTTAAGGTAACCAAGTATTCACTAGAATAAATGGAAAACTGCCAGTGGAGTCAGGAAATTTGATCAGATGGGGAAATTACTATCACAGATGGTGATCATAAACATGTGGATGTCAAGGGGAAACACATTAACCTCTCAAGAAAAGTTCATAAGCATATCACAAACTGCATTTAGTAGACTTATTTGTTTATACACTTCATTTCAGACTTCTGAATAACCTTACATGATACACAGAAGGAAATCTAAAAAACCCTATCTATACTTCTTTCTTCTGCATCTATGAGTGTCAATTAGTACAGTAAAATGTGTTTATCTTACTACAGCAGGACAGCTGGCATAACAATCAAAATATAATATAAATAAACCTGGCTTTCATTAACTAAGTCTCAAATAACTCAGTATGGTACAAAAATAAAAATGCTATAAAAAAACAATATGGCCAAATTACAACTCTGTCGTAAAGTGAAACAGACACTCAGTACTGTACATATCCTGTCTGCAATAAATGCAGATTAAATGACACAATCATTTTATGTAGACTGTAACAAAATAAATTCAATAAGTTAGCTGCGTATCCTTTACAGGACGTTGCAGAACCTACCCCATACTTTTTTTGGCTGTTGTGTTTTTTCTTGGCACGTTTTTTTTTCCATTCGTGTGAGACATTCTGCTGCTGCAAAATCACCCGCAGCTGGAATCAAACCCGGCACGGGGCATTACGAAGCATGCTTGCAACACCTAAGCCACAGACACCAAATTCAATAAAAGATGAAGTTTTGACAAATTCTGAAAATCCAGTAAAAAGTAGTAATGTTATCATGATGCTTTAACCAAGAAATAAACAACTCACTATCTAATAGGCTAGTGTCGTCTATCTCGTGTATACTGGATTTCATAGCCATAACTGTAGTAGCACATTTAAAGCTCTGATTGCTGCATCTTTCCTCCAAGGTCAGAGTGCATTTGCCTGAGAGATGAGGAAACAGCAGTTTGCACACAAGTAAACCAGATTCGTACAATGGATACACACACAAAACTCAAGTCCTGGAACAAGATTAAGGTCCAGAAGTGGAGAAAGAACCAGGACTTTCCACTGGAATTTTCAGCTGGTCAACTTGAAGAGGAAGAAGAAAACATGGAAGCAGAGAATGTGGTTACTATTATGTAAGTCACTTTGCCTCCAAAGAAAAATTTTATAGTATAATGTTATATTATATTGCCAGTTATCTGTTTTTTAAGATATCTTATTCTATTAATTTATGATGGCAAGACATCCTACCTGCTTATAACCATTTTTCTCGATGTTGACTGATAGCTCACAATCAGGCGGTGCTAACCACTTCTTATTATAGTCCATGTCAGGTGGCGCTGGTAGTCATGTCTATTCACAAAAAGGAGGTGGGAGTTTTAATGCAGTGCACTTAAAGCTTCACAGTTTTTACTTGTCTAATGACAACCACATGCCACTTCTGAGTCTGCCAACCATTAAAAAAAAAGGGTCTCCATGGTCAATTTGTTTTTTTTATGCTCCGAAGATTACAAGTTTGATTTCGGACTCTGTTGTTCAATTCATGAGTGCAGATATTTCAGAGATACCTCTAGGCTGTTGCAGAAGCTTTGTGCAATAACTCTTATGTGAAACCAGTCGCTCTGCTAAAAGATCAATCTATATGGAATCAATCCTGGTGCAATGAAGTCAATCCTCTCACCTTTAAAAGATCCTTAAAACTATTACTCTAAGGCCAAGGGTTAAAAAAAAAAAATACTTGCTAATGACACAACTGTTTCTCAACATCATAAACTGTTCTGTATCTTACACACATCTAACACACAAAAGCGGGCTCTACATGTTGGACATGGTGATTTACTGGACAACCAGGTTTCAGGTCTCTGCTGATCCTGCCTGCTGGCAAACCACTTGCCCATACACTCCATACACCACATGGGTCGACAAAAACATGGGACACAGACTTCACTGCCCGGCTCTCCAGCGGGATCTTCACAGTGCTTTTGCAATTTGACATCAGCCATTTTCTGCATGCAGCCTATACATTGTTCAATTTCCTGGTGAAGAGACACATCATGTTAACTATTAACATCTTTATGTTTGGGACTGTTAATAACATGAGTTTTGTAGGATACAAGGTTGGTAATAGATTTATGTAGGACGTTTACAGATAATATACAAGTAATTTTGTTGATGGTGCAAAACTATTAGGCAACAAAAAGCTCTAACAATATTTCATTATTTCAGCCATCACATGACCGGTTTCTGCATATGCAAAAATGACTGGTTTCTGCAAATGTAAAGGTGAGCAACCTCTTTTCCTTGGTTCTTCTTCTTCTTCTTCTTCTGCGTTCGACATCAGTCATGCTACACATTGAGTCCTGTCTGGGTCAAAAATAGGATTGTGCGTTTAAGGTCGCCACTGGTCCCCCATAGCTTCTCTCGCAATGTGGATCCCCTGGGCCAGATTTTTCCTTGGTAAAATGATAGCACAGCTGTCTTCTTTGTGTATGCTGATGTATGAGACTAAGACATTAATACTATCTAGTATCCAAGAAAGATGGTTCCAGGTTCGTGATTTGGTTTGCTACAGGAGGAGTCAACTAATGAATACAGATGAGGAGGAAGATAGGGGTAATAGTGGTGATGATGATGATGGCTTGCTGGCTGCATGCTTCCCACGTCACTCTGATGCTTGTATTATAAAATGTCTTGAAATAACTTTTCTTTTCACAGTACTGTTTTATTTACATATCTAAATGTGACAAATAACATCAGTGATATTCTGAATGACAGCTAATTTCGCAGTATAGTTTTATACTCTTGATGTTGCGTTGTGTTCTTCATCTCTAGATACTTTGTTAACTGGTTCTTGTCTCGGTAACTGCCACCTGGCTTCTAGTGACTAACAGTTTGATCATCGACTCTAGGATCTTAGTAATGTTTCTATCTAATGTCTCTGTTGACCATGGATCCACGTATCTTGTCTATGTAGCATGATGACTTGTTTTATGTCTCCTCTCTAGTGACTGTATGAAGCTCCATGAGACTGGTTCCTCTTCTTCTAGTGTCGAGCTGACATCTCAGCAACTGATTTTTTTTTTCTACAAGGGTCCATGTGACAAGTCCCTCTTCTTCCAAGTCTCATATAGTGAAGGTTGATTGAGTGGTTTCTTACCCACTATTTATACTGAGACACTGGCATGTGTGAAATGGGTTTTCTTCTCACTAAGCTGCTTCTGAAAGATACTTGTATGCTAAAACTTGTTAACAAGGTGTGTTCTCCACCACGGGTTTCTTTAATTGTGTCTTGATTGCATCATACAGCTCTACACCAAAATACACTAATTGAATTAACAGCTGCTTTCTATAGTCTTCTAGAAAACCAGTGCGACATTAATTTCTATTTGATGGGGCAAGTCAACAATATTACATCGAATAATAATAGGTTATTCATTTGCATAATATCCCTCTGCTAATAAACAAGTGATGGTTTTAGAAAGGGAATGTCAAGGCTGCTAAGACTTGTTAACTTTGAGTCTATTCAACTAATATGCAGTTGAGGACATCTCCCTGTTAGATAATGAAGATATAGAGGACAGTAAAGGATATCTTTCCACTCCATTAGACATGTTCGGCATTATGGTGCTAGTCCTCATATTTATATATAAACAAATCAGCACAGCTGTACTCATTTTAGGCCAGGTTATCTTTGGCATCAATCCCCCCCCCCCCCAACTACAAAATGTCCCTTTTCAAAGAGAATTGAAATACATAACCTGTGGGCTTAGACAAACATGATAGCCATTTCAATACTGCAGCTCCCTGAGAACTGGAGCTATATCCACATTTTCTCAAATACACTGTGGTAAAAGGAGAATGTGGTTACTATTTTATCAGTTAATTTGCCTCCAAAGACAATTTTCTAGTATGAATGATATATTATACTACCATTTATTTTAATTTATTTAACACATCTTATTCTACTAATTCTACGAAGGCAACACATACTAACTGCTTCTAACCATTTCTTCCGTTTTTGATTGATAGCTCATATTCAGGTAGTGCTAATCACTTCTTATTATAGTCCCTGCCTGGTAGCATCGGTAGCCATGTCTATCCACAACCTTCTGTCTTGTTTACTTTTATTCAATTTTGACACAGATGATTTTCCTGCCATAATGTCAAACTGTCCAGCATCTTCTCTCTTAATCTCCCTCTGCATTTCTTCCCCTCAAACATTCCCACTGTCACAATGTATTCCAGTTTTCTCCTTCTCATGACATGACCACAGAATGTAGATTGTCCCTTCAAATGTAGGAAATCAGTTCTCTTCATGAGTCAGTTTCTTTCAAGACATTTTCATTACTCTTTTTATCTGTCCAGAGTATTCTCATAATTGGTCTAAAAAAATTTCTGCAGCTTCCAAATAATTTTTCACAAAACAACCAACTGTCCAAGATTCACTTCATATATCAGGATAGGTTTTATACATCTCTTAAGAATTCTCTTTCTTGTCTCAGCTGACAAAGAAATATTGTATAAAATATTCTTTATTTTGTAAAATGCTGTCTCTGATTGAGCTACTCTAAATTTAATTTCTTGAATACATCTTCCATATGATGTTATCAGAATACCAAAGTACTTAAATATATCAACTTGCTAATCATCACATGCACATAACCCCCCCCCCCCCCCCCCCCCCCCCCCCCCCCAACCTACTCTTTTAATGTACTTCAGTGATGGCTGTCTCATTCTAATGTGGTATATAACCTGTCTTCTTCTTCTGCATTCACTATTTAAAAAACAAACAGTAGGTATATTTTGTTGTGAATTACAGCTAGGCTAATATATCTGTCCCTTTTGGCACAATACATCCTATTTCAGCAAACCCTTAATTAGTCTCCTTTTAGGGTCTGGAACCCAGACTAGGGACATCTATTTTTTTAAACATGTGTCATCTGCTACAGCTGGACATGGGAAACTAGTCTGACTGTTCAAGAGGTCTTGTGTTTAATCACAATCAGGACATGGATTTTTAAAAACTGCCCTTGGCTAAGAGGCAACTAGGAAATTTCCTGGAAAGTAAGAGTTGCTGACACATGACACAATACTGACCTTATCAACTAGGCGCCAAATAGTCTCAAAATATGAGACAACGCTACTAATGTGGTGAAATGGAAGCTTTTTCTTTTTTCATAGCATTATATATATTGATCCTAATTTTCTCAGCATCCATAGGATACTTAGTATTCTATAAAGAAATCTTCTTTGCTGTCTATAACTTGTTCTAATCTTGGAATTTACTGACGAGGCACTGGCATAAAGTAATTTTTGCACAGAACAGTTTTCAGTAAACACAGCAGTGAACACTTACCATATTTGGGCTGGGAATGTAGACTGGGTTCTCTTCTACAAATTCTCTGAAAGCCTTTAAAAACCTGTCGCTGAGGGACTGATGAATGACTATGTTGCGTGCGTTACGAATGGGTGCTTGAAGTTTTTCTTTTAGATCTCCTAATTCAAGAGAATTCAACCTGTGGGTAACAGAAAGCAAGCTGACTAGGCGCTTTGTCCGCTTATAACTTTAGTGACAGTTTCATAACAGGGAGGTGATGTTTAAAAAAAAATACATACAGGCATACAAACACACATATTCGGCCAGTATGTGTTCACAGACTTTTAAAAAAAAATATATTTCTGTCAGCTGTTAACAACAAGCAGATAAAGAGGTTTTATTCAGAAGTTGAAACTGATGGGAGAAATTAATACAACACTAAATGAAATTTATAGCAATTATAACAAGACCAGCATATAATATGAAACAATTCAGAGTGGTTGACCATGAAGTATGTTGATATGAATGAATCAAAGACTGCACTGTATACAACTATGAGATGACCAATTTGCTGTGAAGTTGGACTGTTATTACCAGATTACATGTCTACTAAGGCAAATTGTATCAGAACTTATTCTTTTTTAGCCATTATTTCTTGACAAACTTTAAAGAGTAAAATGTAGGGATTCAACCTACAATCACTTGCAGTTTCAAACCAGTTGATAGGCAGAGAAGCTGATGTTATAATGGTTACGGGAAGAAGAATAAGAGCATGATGTGCAGTAATGCGGATTAGCAAAATTACTAACAAATAATAAGCTGTTTCATAAGTCCATTATTGTTGACAACAATTGAATGAAAAAAGCTTGTTCTTTTTTTAATGACAGTATGGACTTCAAGGTGCTGCTCCCAAAGTGATCAGCACTGATTCCCTAGAAATAGTGACTAAATCCATGCAGGCAGTGGGGGTTTGAAATGTGCAATAGCTTTAACCCCGTCACCCAGAGAAGCCACACAAATGGCACTTCCAGCTGGGTCCAATTCAGTGTGAGTGTCATCTTTCCAACTTGGCTATAGCTGTGTGTTCAGGAGACACCAAGCTAATAGCATTGTTATCACTTGTGCCTGAGCACATGTATAGAAGGGACAGGAACTGCTACATTTATAGTTAAAAATAATGGAATTCAGAGGGGTTTTCCTGTTACAATGAATGGCTGTATTAATAGAAATTATGACACCATAATTTTCACATTGGTAATAGTGTTAACCTGCGACTGGGTCACTGGGTCCACTATAAACATTTATTTTTAGACTCATAGAGCTGTGACCATGTTAATTCTCTGATGCATGATGACTCCCCGTATTCAGGATGGATTTTTATATTGTTTTGGTTGATAAATTTAAACTGCTATGATTTTTTTTTTGTGTGAGTGACCTGTGTAAAAAAAATTTTTTTTAAAGATTTGTCCCCAGGAATTCCTTAACTACAGGTCATGGGTATTTTATTTTTCTAAGTAACCGGGGTGACTTGGTTAATATTAAGACACAGTTGTGCAACTGCATGTGTAGGAGAGCCAAGAGTGTATGCAGCCTAGAAGGCAAAGCAGGGATGTGTGTAAAATTTGGGATTCATCAATTTAAAACATGAGAAAACATGTGCTGACTTTAAAACATACCTGATAGTAAATGGCTTTAAGCCTGGCTCTATACGACCAACTGTAATATTCAAATACTGCACTGCCATCTGGTTTTGGTAAGATAAGGCGTGCTCCTCGGAGTCCGACAAGGTCAAGTGAATGTCATTTTGATGAGCAATGTAAACATAATAAGTTGAAGTTTTAATGATCCATGAATCTGTCACTGCTACCAGTCTACTTTGTATGCCACTCACAAACTTGTCTATGCGTCTGAATTCCAAATTAATAGAGGAAGCCACAGTTCTCCAGGTACCATTTTCACCAGCAAGAAGTTTCAACTGCTTCGATATTGGGTGGTTATCACAGTTTTTACTATGCCAGTAAATTGCTAGTACCAAAACACATCCGGGTAAAATCAGGCTTATCAAAAGGTAGACTGTCCACACAATATTGAGCTGATCAATGTTGAACAAGTCCAGTTCTGGAGCAAAGAGTTCCAGACCAATGTAATAAGCTGTAAAAATAGAACAAGTTACAAACACATAATCTTGAAACTGCTTTATTTACTGTTAATATTTATTGTGAAAAACAAGTCATTTTTATTTGTAGATGCAGCTCTGTGGTTTAGAGGCTAGAAACTGTAGTAACAATTTTGTGATGGGTTTTAAGAAAGAAATACAAATGTTCTAGCAGTTTTTGACAGAACTAAAATGTTGACATTCATAATCTTTGTAATTTAATGAGTGAAACTGTTCCAACTGCATACAAGAATACTTTCCAGACTTAAAACAATATGGGAACTCATCAATTAAATCACAGTAAGTGAGTGGTAGTTTAGAATTTACAGGAGCCATTTTGACAGAGATAACTCATCATCAAGCTGTTGAGTAACTTTGACTGATGTTATTTATACAAAAGGCAATTTACACACAAAACAATATATTTGATGCAAAATTACAAAACATGTGGAACACTACATTGGCTCCATTACTATTTTTTTTTAGAGCTCATGCTCCATTGAATGGCAGAGGATAAAAAAAGAAAGAAAATCCATATTCTGGTTGCTTGTTTCCTTATTCAAGATGCACACATATGATGAAGAAGAAAGAGAACTGCAGGTGCCATTTTTACAGATGGATTTATTCCACAGAATTTGGTGTGTGCCTTCCTTTTAAAAAGTGTATTTATCTTCTTCATATGAGACTGTTTCTTCAGGACTCTGGAATTAATGGAAATGTCATTACTCTCAAACCAGAAACAGTTACAGCAAATTTAAATTTCAACTGTGTTACATAACTGGGTCACCAATATCATCAATCTGTTCAGCTCTTAGGCTGGTTGTAATCTATGCTTGACCAAAGGTGTCTCCTTTCAGCTGCCTCTTCCAATGCTGTATATTCTTTCAGTACCTGAGCATGAAAACCCTACTGAAGAATGCAAGTTAAATACGACAAGAGGGCTCATATTTTCTGGCATACAAAAAGTGATCTGATCAGTATCCTACTGACTATGACTTACCAAAACATGTGCTGGTGTCACCAGTTGTACAGTTATAGACTGTGTCACTAATTATACAGTTATAGACTGTGTCACCAGTTATACAGTTATAGACTGTGTCACCAGTTATACAGTTAAAGACTGTGTCACCATTTGTACAGTTATATACTGTGTCACCAGTTATACAGTTATAGACTGTGTCACCAGTTGTACAGTTATAGACTGTGTCATTAGTTGTACAGTTATAGACTGTGTCACCAGTTATAAAGTTATAGACTGTGTCACCATTTATAAGGCTATAGACTGTGTCACCAGTTGTACAGTTATAGACTGTCACCAGTTGTACAGTTTTAGACTGTGTCACCAGTTATACAGTTATAGACTGTGTCACCAATTATACAGTTATAGACTGTGTCACCAATTATACAGTTATAGACTGTGTCACCAATTATACAGTTATAGACTGTGTCACCAATTATACAGTTATATACTGTGTCACCAATTATACAGTTATAGACTGTGTCACCAGTTATACAGTTATATACTGTGTCACCAATTATACAGTTATAGACTGTGTCACCAGTTATACAGTTATAGACTGTGTCACCAATTATACAGTTATATACTGTGTCACCAATTATACAGTTATAGACTGTGTCACCAATTATACAGTTATAGACTGTGTCACCAATTATACAGTTATAGACTGTGTCACCAATTATACAGTTATAGACTGTGTCACCAGTTGAACAGTTATAGACTGTGTCACCAGTTATACAGTTATATACTGTGTCACCAATTATACAGTTATAGACTGTGTCACCAGTTATACAGTTATAGACTGTGTCACCAATTATACAGTTATATACTGTGTCACCAATTATACAGTTATAGACTGTGTCACCAATTATACAGTTATAGACTGTGTCACCAGTTGAACAGTTATAGACTGTGTCACCAGTTGTACAGTTATAGACTGTGTACCCATTGTACAGTTATATACTGTGTCACCAGTTATAAAGTTATAGACTGTGTTAGCAGTTATAAAGTTATAGACTGTGTCACCAGTTGTACAGGTATAGAATGTCTAACCAGTTGTACAGTTATAGATTGTGGCCCCAGTTGTACACTTATAGACTGTGGCCCCATTTATACCGTTTTAGACTGTGTTACCAGTTTTACAGGTATAGAATGTCTAACCAGTTGTACAGTTATAGATTATGGCCCCAGTTGTACACCTATAGACTGTGGCCCCATTTATACTGTTTTAGACTGTGTTACCATTTGTACAGTTATAGACTATGTTACCAGTTGTACAGTTATAGACTATGTTAACAGTTGTACAGTTATAGACTATGTTAACAGTTGTACAGTTATAGACTGTGTCACCAGTTGCATACTTATGAACTATGTCACTAATTAACCCCAGTATGTTAGACACTTAAAAAAAAGTTGCATCACAACACTTAGCACAGGGAAATGGGGTGGGGGGGGGGGGGGGGGGGGCTGATGAGATGCTGAGAATTTCTGGGCACTGTATTTCTGTGGGTCACCAACTCCGAGATTCCATGCCAGCTCGGCTCGGCTGATATAGGCCAATGCCATGGTGCATCAAGTAGTCATGTGGCAGTGTCTTGCACGAGGATTAAAAAAACAAGCACATTTACACAATGACTTCATATGATTTCTTTATAAAATCCACCTGTGCCCATAAATTTGTATTAATGTATTAATAATCCAATTGTCTTTATCTTCTAAGTTCCCAATTAAAAGGCCCATGTTCTGCTGTGATTTACAGTTAGGCTGCAATATCTGCACTTTCAGAATATTTATTGATGACAATTCTGATTTTTATTACAATGGGGATACTTTTATTAGTTAGTTAAGGTTATTTTTCATATGCTTTACAGGACGTTGCAGAACAAACCCCAGCATTTTTTGGCTGTTGTGGTTTTTCTAAGCAAATGTTATGTTAAGTTGTTTTCCACTGAATAACGGTCCCAAATTATCGAGGCAGAAAATATACCCTAACAGGGCCTCAGTCAGGTGTCATTTGCGCACTTCTGGCGACTTAAATTGCGCACTTCCGGCTCCGCCGAGAGTATCCTCCACGCCGCTTACGCGGCGTGGATTGGGGCTAAACTAGATGGCTGGGACTCACGAGCAGCAGCTACTGCATTTCCTGCAGCTGTTTTTATTTTATTTGCTCGTGAGTCCTAGCCATCTAGTTTAGCCCCAATCCACGACGCGTGGGGGATACTCTTAGCGGTGGCGGAAGTCCCCGGAAGTTCGCAATTCGGCGGCTGCGGTAGTCCCTGCAAGTGCGCAATTGACACATGACTGAGGCCCTGTTAGGGTATATTTTCAGCATCAATAATTCGGGACCGTTATTCGGAAGATAGCCAATAATTTTTATTATTTCCATTGATTACCTAAAGGGATCAAGCTGTGTACTAGAAGGGTCAATGTTGTCCTCCGTTGGTGATAGTAAATAAAATTGAAGTCTTCACTGCCCAGATAGCGAGAGAACATGTTCTGTACAGTGATGCCAGCTGAGACGAACTCTGTCGGGGGTGCAACAAAACATCCCGCAAAAAATAAAAACACTAGAGTATAAAGAATCATCACAGTGTTGTCTTGTGATGCCACCCCGTAAATCATGCTGACTTCGTTAGCAGTCAGGCGACGAGAAGCTCTCCGTTAGCAGTCAGACGACGAGAAGCTCTCTGTTAGCAGTCAGACGACAAGAAGCTCTCCGTTAGCAGTCAGGCGACGAGAAGCTCTCCGTTAGCAGTCAGACGACGAGAAGCTCTCTGTTAGCAGTCAGACGACAAGAAGCTCTCCGTTAGCAGTCAGTCAGTTAAAGGACGAGAAGCTCTGGTAGAAGTAAATTAAAATGCAAGTAAACTGGGCCTGGACACAGTGATGTTGATGTTCATAGTCTGTTTTTGCCAGCTAGTAGCACTCAAACAACAACATCCGTTTCCGAAAGTTTGACATGGTAGACAACTCCTGACCATTGTTACCACTTTGGATGTTTTACATCCAGATCTAGATGTTTTTTTGGCGTCTATAGCGCAGTCGATAAGAGACTCGCTTTCAAATCTAGCTGTGACTTGCTGCAGCTCACAGCCGGTGTTCGAAACCGGGCGGTTCCCGAGGTTCACCTAGCCTCTAGGAAATGGGTACCAGAGTTAACACTCTGGGTTAAATGGAGGAACGTCGCTGTAGCTACGGATTTGCGTGCGGACGGCCTCACAAGCGGACAGTTTCTTGTCAGCTGTCCGTACTGGTAGCAGAGCATTTATGGTTTATAACCGTGTGCAATGACGCTGGTTCACATCTCCAGACTTTACCTTTATTGCTGTTGTCTGACAGATGATTTGAAAAACCAGTTATGTGTTTAGGCAATACGATACCAGCTACCTTGCGTTCGTTTCGACAGTGATTTGATTTGAATCAAGAACCGACATCACGGCACTCGGGGCATTCCCTTAAGCGCTCCGTCCCCATCTTCAGCAGCCAGCGAGGAGTTCCGATACTTATGGTGCCAGTAGCCACGCCCATCTGTATCTAAAGATGGCCGTGCCAGTAGCATTCTGATTAAACGCCCGTCTTGCCTTTCCTCTGAGCCTCGAGCATCTGCCAGAACCTCTCGTCACTCCCCGCTGCATCAATCTCACCAGACTGTGGTGATCCATCTGCTCCTCCGAACTGTACACGCTCTCCCACAAGGCACTAGCCACGTCTGCCTTATCATGTATCAGTATTCCACCAAGTTGTGCATAGCCAGCCAGTCTGTCCGCCTGTTCATTTCCCAAAACACCGGCTTACGCCGGTGAAAAAATCCATACAATACTCCTCACCCGTGTCCTCCGCAGCGAAGCATGCCATTCTGCACGAAGCATACCTGTTCTGATCTTCCTCAGCATGCTTTCTGAATCAGTTACAATCACGATGTGTGTGTTTGTGTCGTGTTCTCTAGCCAGTGGTATCAAGAAAGGCGACCTTCCAGAAAGCAGTGACAAACTACTGGCCGTAAATTTGCCTAAAAACCACACAACAGCCAGGGGCTGTTGGGGTTGGTTCTGCAACGTCCCGTAAAGGATACGCAACTAACCATATCAATCATCATCATCATCATCAGGTGCCTTGTCGACTGGCGTGGGCGATCATGCCTCTCCATTATCCACGATCTCCTGCAGCATGTATCAGTTCGTGTGCCGACACACCTCCATGCCATGCAACAAGACTGTCAAGAATCTTCTCTCGTTGTCTTCTTATATACCTCCTTCCAAAGATCTTTCAAATGGTCACAACATGATCTATTTTCCCTCTTCTCATAACATGGCCGAACCATATCAATAGCTATGTGATTTGTGACTGTTTAATTTGGAAGTTTTTTCCAGATGTTTACCCGCGCAAATCTAGATATTTCTAGATATTTTGTGACCCGTTTCTAGATGTTTGCTGTCAACGAAAAGTGGCAACACTGCTTTTTGGGGGAGGGGGGGGGGGGGGGTTCCCCTTTATTTCAACTCTGTATGTTTGCGAGTATTGTGTTTTTCCTGCTATCGTGTAATTATTTGTCTGTTTGCTTATGTATTGTTTGTCTGTTTACATCTGTTGCCGTTTGTTTGTGTTTGTTAGTGTTATGTTCAAGTGTAGTCAAAAGACACAAGAAAGAAAAGGGTTATGGGAGGTTGGTGAAAGTGGGGCTTAGTCACTTTTTATTTGTTTTTATCAAAGTCAGTTGTTTCTATTTTATTGTCCAGTTTGGTCTTTGACCCATTCTTCCCAGAACCGGTCTGCTTTGTTTTGAAATTCTTCTTCGTGTTTCTCGTAAAAGATCTCTAGATCTGTCTGTTCTGCTAATTCTCCTTCTTCGCGACTTCCCTCTGCTTGTTTCAGTGCTAGGTCATCGATATATTTTCTGTGATTTCGGTAATAGAACTCCTCATATGCGGACAAACCAAAGTTGGTTTGTTCTCCGGCTTCCCTTCTCAGTCTTTTTAATTCTTGTAGAAAAAAGTCCCATAGTGGGCCTCCGTCTAATTCTGGTTCTTTGTTGTCATCCATCGTCTCTTCTGCGTCTGTTTCTGGTGTTTCGGGATGTTTTTGGAACTCTTCTAGTGGTTCGGGGGACAATGGTGATAGTGGTGAGTCTGGAAGTGTTTCCTTCTCCAAGGCTGTGATAAGTTTTTCTTTCGTGGTCTTGTGTGCTGTGGGAACGGCCGCCGTGCCAGCTGGCTTTGCTGCCTTTGTCTTTTGTGGTTTTTGGTTTTTGTTCTCAATTTATGTATTGAGTATTTGGGTTGTGGTCTCTTTTGGCGTCTCTTGTGCCGCTGGTGTTGTCTTTGGAAGAAGTGTTGTCTTTGTGAAGGCACTCAACAAAGCAACTGAGAGGAAAAACAAAGACAACACTTCCGCTACAGGAGCGGGTTTTGTTTCTTTCGTCTTTGGCTCTGGTTCCGTGGTCTTTATCGTTAGGTGGTGTGGGTTGGTCTTCTTCCTCTTCTCAGGACATTTGTTCGACCAGTGGTCATCTTGATTGCAGTACATGCATGCGATCCTTCGGTCAGGCATCGTGATCAGAACTTTGTGGTTACGCTTTGTTATGCCTGGTGTGTCAACATAAATATAGTGGGGTATTTCTCGTGTTGGCTTACACCTCGCTCCCCACTTTCTTTCGTCATAATGAATAGGAAAGACTTCAGGTTCACAGTCTCCCGTTTACGATGTCAATCACGCCATCGGTGGTCAGTTGGCTTTGTAGCCAGTTGAGTGTGATCCGTTAGTGGGGGAGATAAGAAAAGCGAAATTTGGAGTCCTGGCTCTGACCGAAACAAACAAAAAGAACCAAGGAATCACAGATCACGACGGAAGTATGCTGCTCTACAGTGGTGTCCCTATGACGGAGAGAGCCAAGGGAGGTGTTGGCTGTATTGTGACCAGGAATCAAGTTAGTTACATCAAGGGATGGACAATCATCTCGGAGCGAATTATGGTGTTGGATCTGAAAGAAGAAGATAACATTGTCAATATTGTCATTGTGTACGGGCAAAATGAAGATGAGGAAGTAGATGTCAAAGACGAATTCCTTGAACTGCTCCAAAGGACCACAGATGACTGTCGTGATGAAATTATCCTTCTAGGAGATCTAAATGCCAGAGTAGGAAATGATCACTCTAGATGGAGTGGAATGATAGGGCGATATGGTGAAGATGTTTTGAATGATTATGGCAAGCGACTCCTCAGATTGTACAGGGAACATAACCTTGTCATTACAAACACAAAATTCACCCACAAACGTATACATGCATACACTAGATGTGAACGTTCAAAGAATAAGAAATCCCTTATTGGCTACGCCATAGTAAGGAAAAGTTCATACCTGATGCGCGATAAATATGATCTTAACAAATTTTGTTGGGTGTCCGTTACCAGTATCTTTATTCTTACGAGCTTAAACAGAAAAAAAAAAAAAAAAAAAACTAGGATTTGATAAGTTGGTTCGTCATCCAGGACAGGGCCGTCTTAACGCATGGGCCCACTGGGCACTTGTCTGGGGTTCTCACGAGCCTAGGAGACCCAGGCTAATCTGTGTATGTGAAGTGACTTCCTTTAAACATTATGTTTGAGGTTTAAATTAATTCTATTTAATATAAACCCGAAATATGACTCACCCTTTCCCCCCCCCCCCCAACATGGAACGTTTCTTGATGATCATCCCCATCTTTTGTTATGGAACACAAAATCTAACAGACACGGTTGTGGATTGTTTTAATGAAAACAAAATATCATTATAAACTGCTCTGGTCAATCATACCTCAAAGTTGTCTAAAATATTTACTCGAGTGCCAGCGTCAGTTTTACCTATAACAGCTCAGTCAGTATATTGTGATGCTGCACATGCTCTGTGTGGGGGTTTCGTGAAAATTAAATTGCTAATGTATAATAGGAAAGAAGCAATGGGTTTTAGCAACAACAAAACAAAACAAATGAGAAAACCTGGTAACAATCTTTATCCTAATTCTTTGCAATGGCATGATATAAATAATGAATAAAACAAGCAATGTCCTTCAGTCATAAGATGTAAACATTCTTGTTGCTACGAATCTTCTTGAATCTAGTTTCGTCACCCAGCAACTGGGGTAAGTGCAGGGCGCAACACTGTGAGATAAGGTAAGTGATAGACATTCTATGTAGTTTTGATTGACACAGGAACGGTGCAACTATGCGCTCATTCGTTTGCTATGAAGTTTAAACTGCGATTTACTTATTCTTGGGTCTTTAAAAACCGATCTCCATGAAACTAGAGACAAATTTAGTGAATATGATTCCAAAGACAGATATTGTGTGTCTAAATGCAGATTACAGTGATAGGGAAAAATATGAAGCTAACGAACTATGCGTTTAAGTAGATATGAACCAGCAGAGCTGCCAGGAAGAGGTACTTCGAAGTAAAACTTAGAAGTTTCAGTTGGAAACCTCCCTCACTGTTCTCGTCACTCTCATCTTTGAACTGACTATACGTGCAGAGGCTTACAGATTTGAAATCACGTCCTTTCTTTGATAAATTGAAAACCGTTGCATCTGGTGCATGAAAGAAAAAGTGAACATCTAGCTAATATGCATTAGGATAATGCAGCTGGACGCTC